TTATTATCATCCCTAATTCCAGACGTTACGGGCCCTACATATTTACGTGATCTGTTTATACCTTTGTACATGTCTCTTACGTTATTTTGGATTCTATTAGTTTCTATTTCAATTATTTTATTTTTAAGATACTCCCTTTTTTTATTTTTGAGCAATTTTGTCGTTTCGTTCTTTGAGATTCGGAAGTATTCCAGATTTTCTTCGCTAGGATTATTTAGAGCTTTTAATTTAGCGGCTTTCCTTTTTTCGCACATGTTTAAGCAATCTTCATCAAACCACGGTTTGTTATTCTTATTTTCCTTTTTTCCTAGACACGAGTTACCGACCGCTTTAATATTATCCCTGATCTCTACCCATAACTTGTCAATATCCTCGTGGTCCTCGTCAGGAAGCTCTAAAGCTTCAAACCTATTCTTAACATCTAGCTCGAATTGGTTTCTAATTGATGGATTTTTTAATTTTTCCAAATTAAAATTCTCAAAATCGAAACGGTTTTCTTTTCTCTTTTTTATATTAAGTTTTTGTCGAAGTTTCGCGATTACTAATTCATGATCCGACCCACATTCTGCTCCGCGATAAGACCGTACATTGATTATACTGCTTTGCCAGCTGTGTTGTATCAAGACATGATCGATTTGATTTCGTGTTTGCGAATCCGGCGATGTCCAAGTATATTTATGAATATCCTTACGTTTAAACGTCGTACTTTTAATTACCAGGTTTTTCGAGATGGCAAAGTTTATCAGACGGATCCCATTATCATTACTATATTCGTGCAAACTTTCTTTACCAATCGTCTGAATATAAACTTCTTCCCTTCCTACCTTTGCGTTCGCGTCACCTACAATTATTTTCATGTAGTTTCGCGGTAGTTTATCATAAACCCATTCGAGTTTATCGTAAAATTCACTTTTGACTTCATCGTCACTGTCTTCGGTCGGACAATGTATGTTTATTAATGCGATTTTAAACCAACGTCCCTGAAATGTAGCTACCGAAATTCTATCACTAAAGAATTGTACGTCCCTCAAAGCGGATAGTAATCTACTCCTAATTAGAAACCCGGTACCTAAACAATGATTCCCGCTTCCTCCGTACCAAATAGTGTACTTTCCTTCCCTCATCGAGCCCTCCCCTGGCCAGCGAACCTCTTGCAGAGCCACGACATCCAAATTGTACCCATTTACCTCATTCGAGACCGATTTTAGCCCCCCTGCTGTGTTTAAACTCCTTACGTTCCACGTACCAATATTTAAATCCCTATATTTCAACTTGCGGCATGAATCCCCTAAAGCAGTCCCCACCCGGAGACCCGAACGGGGGACTAGTTTACCTCCGGATAATGAGCGTTTTACCTTAGGGAGATCCATGACTTTTTGTGGTGTTTGGTGAACTAAAGATATGTGAGTAGGGCGTTCAATCCTACGTCACACCCTCCAGCAAGTCTGGTGGGCCCCTACCTCCAGCAAGTCTGGAGGTCCCCTCCCTCCAGCAAGTCTGGAGGGCCCCTCTCATTGTTGGTCAGCGAGTCCATCGGACTTAGCCGGGAGGAACTTCCAAGGAATTTCCACCGACCATCCCCACATCCGCCACCCGTGGGACGCTCCCCATACGCGGTAATGAGCCCGCGCGAGGAATTAAATATAACCATTAATATTTATATTAAATGTTGTTCAAAGTGAAGGTATGTCCGCAAACGCTTTGTTTAGGAGATGGATTAATATAATACTAATATGGCCTTTTATCCCTAACTGTATAAGAACTATTGAAAAGAAACAATAACACATATCCAGTGTCACTGCCACTACTGCTGTTGAAGAAAGATGCCGAGCCTTTCTTAATGCTCAAGGAAATCACTTTGAACAACACTTACTATGAATTTGATGTTTATATTTAATTAATAAAGTAGTTAGAACAAATAAATAAGTTTTATTTACTTAATATAACGTAAATAATTCATAACAATGAAAATCTTTAGGTGTGAATACCTCCTAAACAAAGCATCTGAGGAAAGAGGAATTTTTTTTCTTGTTTCGAGCTCCTTAATTCTTATTTTCAATTTGACCATTTAACCTTGAAATATCCTGTATATATCATTTATCAAGGAGGAAAAATATTTTGTAAATCTTGATAAGTTGATTGTTGAAGAGTTCCATACTGTATTGATAGAACAGGCTATCTCTTTAGTTTACATTTGACAAATTTCACAATGTTCTTAGTATCTTTTTCTTAATACACATGGGTAAAACCATTTCCAATGTGAACCTAACTAAAAATCAATTCCAAAAACAAATAAATGATAACTTGAATGTATGTTGAAATAAAAAACAAGATATGTACCAAATATAATATTTATAATACAAATATTTATAATACAATATTTATCATACTTTCTAAGAAAATGCAATCACCTTGCTCCCATTGATTAAAAAAATACTTAATACTGATAAGTGGATTATTTGCGAATACATCTGTTTAGGCAACTTTCCAAATTTGAAATTAAGGCAAGGCAAATAACTCTCATGAGTTCTTAATAGGCAACATTTTACGTATTTATGCAGTGGACTGTATTTTAATGGATTGGTAGGTTATATGAATTGCACAAAAACAGCTTACCATTTTTATGCTGGCTTAAATATCCTATGTTTACCTGAGGGCCCTCAAGTCTGGTAGTCTTGCCTTCATGGATGTCAGTGCTGGAATGGAGCAGTCCTACTACCGTGAGGTGGTACAGATTAAATTTTATCTTTTAGATCTTCTGATCTGACCCCACCACTCGCCGTAACGAGGAAATTGGGAACTATCCTTGCACAAACATATCCCCCACCATGAAATATCTCATTTAACAAATAAAAAAAAAATAAAAAAACAAACTCAGAGATTGATGATTACCAGACAAGGCAAAAACGAGAGGAAAATTGCTTGGTTCGCAATAAAGAGAGAATTATTCAAAATAGATATTTGGAAAATTAGAAATAAAGTGAGTCAGATCAAAAATATAGGCTAATAAATTACAATTGATTTAAAATAAAACGACTCCTCATTAAATTCAAGCAAAAAAATATATTCATATCAATAAAAGGTTTTTCCAGAAGGGAGAGGCAGTAACTTGTGCACCAATCGCACCAAAGTGGCTATAGCAGTCCTCAATTTTACCACCCTAACTACACAGTCAGCCTCTGAAAGTGTCTCTATTATCCTGGCAAGCCACCACTCCAGCAGTGGAACATCTTTTTCATGTAGAATTACAAGGGTTTTCTCTTTTAAATTTTCCCTGTCAATATACATACTACTTGCTGCGAGGCACCAGATTGTGGAGGTACTCATTATACCATCTCTTCAAAAATTACGAAGAGTCTTGGACACATCTCCCAACAGCTTGTCAAAGGAAACACATGTGCGTCTTCTTGTTCTGGTCTAGCTAGGTGGGGTTGACCTATAAGAAAGTGCCCTGGGGTGAGATAATACAGGTTATTCGAAGGCTGACAGCTAATATTACAGATAGGACAGGAATTGAGAACGGCTTCAACTCGTACCAGAAGAGTATAAAATTCCTCCATGATCCTGCAGAACGGCAAGGTGTCTCTTAGCGGATTTAATAGCTGCCTCCCAAATACCACCGAAATGAGATGTTGGAGGAGTAAAGATGTTTTAAACCTGACTGACCCAAATGGGTTCGCTCTGGCCCTTAACAAATTGATAAAGCTCCTTCAACTTCTTGGATGCTCTAACAGTTCCATAGTCACTATAAATATGAGAAGGCAAACCACGTCGGGCAATAAATCTATCTAATGTGGTAATAAATGAAGAAGTGGATAGGTCCATCACAAGTTCTAGATGGATGGCCTTGTTGGACATGCACACAAAGAGAGCTAACCAACATTTCGATTTAGGAGCATTGTGCTTACTTGCGGAAATCTTCATAATGAAGGGGCCGCCATAGTCTATTTCAACTCACTGAAAGGAACAACCCTTGGTCACCCTGAAAATTAGAAGCCACTCATTTTTATAGCCTGCGGCTTTGCATTATTTTTGTGTCACGTAACACATTTATAAATCCGGCTTCTAATGAGTCTTCTTAGAGAAGAGCGATGAATGAACGACTGGACCAGCAGGGACCCACCATGCAAGGAATACCTGTGGTAATGGTCACACAAAAGGACTGCTAAATGAGAATCTTTAGGTATCAGCAGCGAGTGCTTACTTTTTTCTTCGATTGTGGAATACTTCAATCTACTTCCCACCCCGAGAGCTCGGTCCTTGTCCAAAAATGGTGTGAGCCTGTTTAAGAAACCCTTATATGGTTTGCCACCTTCAAGACAATCAATTAACTCAGTGAAGAATTTCCTCTGAACGAGTCTGACATAAATTATCAAGGAATCCTTAAGATCCTCAGCAGTCAAGGTTCCAGCAGCAAAAACATTTTGCTCCCAATCTCGGCAACATTTAATATATTTTAAAATAAAAGCAAAAACCCTTTGCAGTTTTAAAAGGCTCGAATATTTTTCCAGACAAAGCAACAAATCGTTAGGTTTTTCAGCTGCTAAAAGAGATATTGTTTTTACTTCAGGTAGAACGAATGGAGATTCAATATGGTAAATAGTCAGAAGGAGGTAACGAAATAAATGGCAGGCCGTTTCAATAAAGCCAATGGGAAAGTATCTGGTGCGGTGTGAGACCTCTCAATAAACAATCGGTTAGATTTAGACACGGCAACATAAATCTTAAGTTCATGAGGCGGTGTCTGTAACCAATAGAGTACATTACGAAAATCCGAAAAACAATACATTTCCTCAATTTGCAAATGAATTTTAAGTTTACTAATACTCGCAAGTAGTATGGAAGCAAGAAGAGCAGCGTTTAATTAAAAATGAGGCACTGATTGAACCTTAAGTGGGGTCAGGTCACCTTACTTTTTGCCCTTTAAAAATGAATTTTGGTTGCATCTCCTGGGCAAAAAAACACTTTAATGAAATGAAACAAAAATTCAATGAACTTACCTACTATTATCAGAAAATTTTATAACATTATTGGAATTTGAAAAGTTTTGTGTTTCCATAATCATATCAATCAAAGATTTAGACTGGATTTCACCATTTATCACCATTTCTCCCTGAAATAAATAAAAAAATAGATTTCAGCACACTACCTGGACAATCAAACTTCTTTTAATAGGAATGTAGGAAATGAACTTTTCCATACAGCTGTAATAAGATGTGCATATTGAACAAAATGACTAGAAAATGGCTGTGAACTTTTACATTAATATATGCATTAAATTCATTTTAAGTAAATATATAATACATACAGAATGAAATATTTTTTAAAAAGTTGTTTTGTTTACAGTTACTCTTTACATTTTTCATTCTTACAAATTCATAAAACTGTAAAAACAGTTTTATAGGCCACATATAAAGTGCGGGTATCGGAAGAGGGTGCTCCTAGTCAAGAAGACCTCATCAGCCCTTAACCTCAACTTACACTTCAATGACGAATCTGGTGCAGGTACCTATAGGCACTCACGGAAAGGACTAACCTTATCCATGCTAGCTTTCAACCACTCATTAGCAAAATGAAACCAGATGGCTGGCCGGACTAAAATCACGACCAGCACAACACTGGAAACTGGAGATGGAATCAGCTACTCGTACAGTGAGTAGCTGCAAACACACGACCACTATGTCCGCCACCCACATCCAAGCGGTGACAAGCACTGCCGATGGCTGCCCAATGCGCCACCAGGACCCTGGCGACGCCCCATAGTATCAATTCGGTCAAACAAAAAAAAAATATAAATTTTGTATTCGACCTCTGACCATATACAAATTCAACAGTCATCTATATTTCCACCATAAATTCAAGGCCATTTTTCACTAATGTTTTATTTCTTTTATATTATCATTTTTGACGACGTTTCAGCCAGTACTTGGGCCATTTTCAAGTCTTAAATAAGTCTTCTATCATTATATTCATTATCTTCTTTTTGTAGCTAAAGAAAAGATAAAAATAGGAAAAGATAATAATAAGATAAGATAATAATAGATAATGACTATGGATACAATGATAGAACTCTGATTTAAGATTTGAAAATGGCCCAAGCACTGGCTGAAAAGTCATGAAAAATGATATCGTAAAGGACCAAAAAGTTAAATTTATGTGGGTGTCATTGTATACACAGAAGGCAGTGAGGAGAGAGAGAGAAAGTCAGATGGTGTTTTGAGATTGGATGGGACAGACGAACTATTTTGGTTGAAAGAAGAGAACTAAAAACTTACAGTATATCATCTCTCGCCCCTCACTCACTCACTCTCTCTCTCCCTCTCTCCCTCTCTCTCTCTCTCTCTCTCTCTCTCTCTCTCTCTCTCTCTCTCTCTCTCTCTCTCTCTCTCTCTCTCTCTCTCTCTCTCTCTCTCTCTCTCTCTCTCTCTCTCTCTCTCTCTCCCCCTCTCCCTCTCCCTCTCAGAGAGAGAGAGAGAGAGAGAGAGAGAGAGAGAGAGAGGGGGGGGGAGAGGGAGAGGAGAAATTCAATAGCAAGAGGATAGATGGAAATAATTTTAAATACCTTGAAAAACCAGTGTCGGCTATGTTCACTATTGGACTGAGCTAAATCAAAACATTCAACACTAGTTGGATTTCTTTTTAATTTATCTTTGAACAAACAGTAGTAATAATCCAAATCCCAATCATCAAATGCCAAACCTACAACAATTTATTAGTAGTTATTAATATAGTGAGTCATAATTTTTATGATCTAAACATAGAAGGAAGATCAATACCATCCATTAATCTAATAAAAAAAAATCATATTAAACAAAGAACAAACAATTTGCATATTCATAATTGGTAAATGGTTGACTGTTGTGGATAATGAAGAGAAGAATAGTTGGGGTGGTCAGTCAAAAAAGAAGGCAAAAATAAATGATAATATTTATTTTTACATATGCCTTATAATATTATAATATAATATTATAGCCTTATAATATTATAAATATTTATTTTTACATATTTATATATATGTATATATGTGTGTGTGTATGTATGTATGTGTGTATATTTATATATATATATATATATATATATATATATATATATATATATATATATATATATATATATATATATATATATATATGATATATTTTTATTTCAATAATTCTCCCTTATTATTCAACAGTTATTTTTCTTTTGAATTTTTCATCCACTTTCTATTAACTTTCGTTCAATTTTCCATAATATTTCTGAGTAATATATCTCTCGTACCTATTTACGCTTCCGGTGCTTTAGTTCAAACTTCGTCGGATAACCGTTAGAGATGACGCCACCTACACATCTCTTCTCTCTCCCCCTCCCTTGTAACGACTTTTATTCTCCCTGCAACACTTAAGGAGACAGGTAGTACTTCTTTTATTTCTTTCTTATTTCAGCTTTCTCAATTTCTTCCCTCCTTCCTTTCATTCCTTTTCTCTGTTTTTAACTCTTTATTATATTATACATTGTCTGTACATCTTGATAGACTTTACAATATCTCAATTTTCTATCTAACTACTCCATTCTCAATGTCTTAATTTTACTATTTATTTTCATTTCTTATATAACTTCATATTTCTTTTTATGTTTTACATTTTATTCTAAGATTCCCATTGTAACACTTATGTCACCCTTTTTGATTATGCCTACTTCATCATTCCACACTTTGTAACGGTTATTATTATTTATCTCTTAGTTCTTAGTCATTATTCTAACAATTTCATTTTACTTTATATTTATTTATTTTATATTTTTTTATTTTATTTTTATTTTATTTAATTTTCTTTATTTTTCTTTTTTACCATCACTACTTATGTTTCTCATACCTTGTTATCTGGTTATTTTCTTAGCCCTGATGAAGGCCTGAACTTCAGGTCGAAACGTCGGCATATGTAAAAATAAATATTATCATTTATTTTTGCCTTCTTTTTTGACTGACCACCCCAACTATTCTTCTCTTCAATTTGCATATTCCATGGACTAGCCATTCTTCAATGAGTCCTCTTTGTTCCATAAGACTATATTTGAAGGAATCTTCCATTTGATCTCACATCCGTCTAGCAGTTCTTGGAAGTATTCCTTTCACCACTCCATGATGATTTCATCATTTTAGTTTTTAAATCTATTTATTGAATAATAATACAATCAGCCACTGCTGGATGGCTATAAGTATTAGAGCTAAGAGTTCTCATTCATACAATATATACACATAATAGAGAAATAAATATAAATATAAAAAGTAAATAAATAGTACCGATGAATAAAGTAAATAAAAGAAAAAAAAGTAAACAAATAACATAAAATAGAAACTTCTAAACACAATCATACCTATATACAATATATATACATTCGCCCAGGAATCTCCGAGCCAGGCTTTCTCCCCCACATGTGGAAGGCAAAGCAAGACTCCAGGAGATCCCAGTGCCACTTTTTCAGCTCCATCACTAGTATTAGAAGCCAGTGGAGACTGAAAGAGGGCACTAGAGCCACATACGCTCAGGACATGAGTGAAGATGCTGGCCATTGCCAGGACTCCAGAAGCATATTTACAAGAGATCTCTGGGCCACTGCCTAGTGTTATTGGGTAAAGGGGTGTTTGGATTATTACGGCTGTGGGTTGCAGGAAATTATGGCTTGGTAAGGGAAACAAATGATGTGAAACAGATCTATGGATAATTATGGCAGTGCCACCATGTGCTGTTCCAGATTTCATCATTAGAGAGTAAATTTTCTTTTTATCTCTGATCAATTTCAGAATTGGTTGCTAGCTTCTCATTATTACTTTCCATTTTTCCAGATTTATTTTACTTTGACTCCTTTTTAAAATAATAGAGTACTTCATTTAACAAGATTACAATAGTAGAATATTTTGATTATCTTCAATATTTAAAACCATCATACAGTTATCAAAGCCATAGTTTTTGAAAATACTATCTCATAATAGGATTACGCCATCACGTATTCATTTATTTTAACTTTTTGGATTCATTATTATGTTATTGAAAACCTAGTTTTTTTAATAATACTATCAATTTTAAATATTTTTAAGTACTACTTGTGATATTTTGAGGTAAATTAGGATTCTGATAACATAATAATGGACCCTTATATGGGATAAATCCAAAATGTTTAAGAAAATAAATGCACAATGGTAAAATCGATAGTATCTTTAAAACTGCATCTGTGATAACCTGATAACGAATCTAATAATGAAAAAATTAGCAACAATTAAATTTATATCATAATTGATGGAGAAATTGAAAAATTAAGAAGTACTCAGATCATTTTGACTGAGTAATGTATGACTACTGCTACTTGAGTACTCAATCTGTACTGTACTTATTCCTTATAAAAGTAAATAAAGTACTACCCATCTCTTATTTCTTTTTCATTTGTATATAGTCTGCGGTACAGACCCCTTTTTATCAGATTATTATTGTTTTAAATAAACAAAATGGCATTTAATAGTGAGGCAAAATAAAATTTGGGAATTCCAGAGGAGTCAAAAGTTATTTTAGATGAGGAAAATTCATTAGTTAAAGATTACGAAAGTATTTCGCAGGTCCAAGTAGCTGACAAACCAATTCAAATAAATGACAATGCTAACTAGGGAGTATCGGATATCCAATTGATGTTAAGTCAAATACTAGCCAAATGAAATGAAAAATTAAATAAAAAATGAATTAAAAAATGGTTTTGAAAATTTAAAATCGGAAAATATAAAACTATTTGAAAAAATTGAACAAAATTTTGAAACATTTACAGCAGAAATAAAAAATGAAAACAGTAGTAGGGCCAAACAATGGGAAGAAAGATTTGAAAAGTGTTCCATTAATAATAACAAAAAAGAGGATACTGACATAAATGATTTAAAACGAAATCTCAATAAAGAGATTGTATGCGTGGAAAATAATTTATCTGCAAAATTAGATAAAAAAGAAAAGACAATAATAAATTAAATAAATGTATGTCAAGCAGAAAATGGCAAAATAAAGGAAAAACTTGAAAATATTGAACAAAAGCAGTCAGAGGAAACATGTCAATTACGGAGGACAATAATTAATGAAAACATAAGAACTCATTGCACCAGTCATGTTTTAAGAAGCATAAATATAACTAAAATAGAGAAGCTTTAATTTCAAGATTTCAAGAAAAGTGACCCGTTTTTCATTATTTCAAAAATAAAAAATAATATAACTAATATAAAAAAGTAGAAAAATTTTAATACTGTTAAAATTTTACATCCATAAGAAACTCTGTACAGCATAAAAAATAGGTTAATAAATTGCCACAAATTGAAGCTACTCTTTAACACAACTATGAGTAGAATACTGAAGCAAGCTTTGTTTGGGGTCATTTCATTAAAATTCATTGATTTATTTTTCGGTTTTGACCCAGGAGGGATAAACATAGATCCGGATGATATAGATAAGTAATTGGTAACATTATTAGGGATTCCTCAGCCTGATTTCATAAATGTTCTCTTTTCTCCTCCCAATAAAAATTACCTGATACCATACTATTAAACATGGCTCATTTTATTGTAAATAAACTTGATTTTTATTATTTAAATAGGATTATATTTTGTGATGTGCAATTAAAATAGAAAACAAAGTTTATGTTTAGCTATAAATTATTATTCAAGAATTATGATTGTTAAACGAATGAAGAATGTTTTAATGTATGAAGATTAATGTAATATAGTTTTAAGAATTCAATAATTTTTAATATTAAATTGTAAATATTTGCTAACAAGGTTGAGAAATCCATTGTAAATAGTGTGAATGTCATTGTAATTAGTGTGAATGTCAAATGAAGTTTATTAGTTTATACATGAAAATAAAAAAATGTAAATATTTAACCAAATTATGAATTTCCATTTTTATTTTTTTAAACTGGAACGGAGGAGAACATAATGTAAAAATTATATAGTGATTTTGAATAGCGACGCGAAGGGAGTGACGTCACGAACTACTGTCAAAAATGGACAAAGACAGATGGAAGAGAAAACAAGTGCCATATGTCAAAAGAAGGTAGCCAGCCGGCTAGTAAAGAGGATCGAGAAAAGAAAATGTGAGTTAACAATTTACAATTTTATGGGGACTGGATGGATAAGAAATAATTGAACATGCGGGATTTAAAAGTAGGAAGAGTATTGGATTGACAGATGTGGGAAGGGATGGAGTTCCATAGAGATGAGGATTGGACAATGAACGATCTGTCGAAAGCAGCGATTCGGTGGGTCCTTATGTATAAATCAGAAGACCGGGAACAAGTATTGTGGGAGCAAACAGAGGATTTGAATTGAAGGAGTTCGGAGATGTATGAAGGGCGGTGGGATTGGATGACTTGAAAGAGGAAGGATGCCAAGAAATACTTACGACGGTCGGAAGGATAAACCACTTCAAATCTGCATAAAAACAGGAAACAGAGGTGTCCCTTGGGATCCCGAAGATAAATCGTACAAAGCAATTTATCAAACATTTTGGTTTCACCTCGAGATCCCCAGAAACGCCCCCCATATTACCGTAAAGCAATAGTTAAAGCAGAAAAAAATTAAAGAAATGACTAGGATTCTACGGGTTTCAAGGGAAAAAGGTGTAGTATGTAAAAGGAGTAATTTAGATGATTTAAGGTGAAAATCGTATGGTGGGAGATATTAGATACATGGTTTTTTCAGGAAAGTGTTTGATCAAAGGTTATTCCAAGGTTTTTGATGGAGGGATAAAATTTTAAGGGATTATCATGTAGGAACATAGTTGGAATATTAGGAACAGTTTTAAGGAGGTCATTAGAGCCTATTAAGATTTCCTTCGTCTTTTCCACATTCAACTTCAACTTGTTAGCTCTCGCCCAGTCACAAATCCTATCCAGTCTTCTTGAAGTTTTTTAGTGGCTGATAATACGTTGGAGGGCGGGAAGGACAGGTATCTTTGGAAATCATCTGCATAGATATGTAATATATACTGAAATATTCCTGGTTTTTGTTTTGTTTTTACTACTTATCCCTCCACCATCTCCCAACCAGGTCAACAATTTTCACTATGGTTTTTCTCCCCATGTATTTGTTTCCTCAGTTTCAACCTAAACTCCATACTGCATACACCTGTAAGTCTATTTTCATTAATTTTTTTTGTCAGTTTTTTCACACTCCTTTTATGTCAATTATTTCTTATTATTTTTCCTATTTCTTTCGATCTTTCCTGATCTGTAGGATTATATTCATAATTACATATATTATCCATCCTTATTACATTCAATTTTCCCCAATCTACAATAATGGACAACAATTGTTATCATTTATATACTTCAGTTTAGGATCTTGTTACTTAGCTATACTTCGCTTACTGTGTATATATAGGGCTTGAACGAACAAGATACTAATTGTTTGTTCTATCCCTGAAGAAGACCTGCAAAGCCGGGTCGAAACGTCTGCTTGAAATAAAATAGTTTTTTCACTATTTTAGTCTTTTTATGACCGCCACCCCAAACCATCTTCTTCTCCTAATATATACAATGTTCAACCATAAAGTATTCAATTAGTAAGTATAATCATACTTAAATGAGCACATTCTTTTAATCTACCGAAGCGTTAATTTCAATATTTCAGAGATCGTCATGAAAAAAAAATCAGTTGTGGACAAGCCATAATAAGTTTACCCTCCTAACTAAAAACAATATATTTTGGTTTAGTATATCAAATATATAAATATATATATATATATATATATATATATATATATATATATATATATAATGTTCTTGCAGATATATTTTTTGGTTGATAATTAACAATTTTACCTAATTTCACATTTAAATCTTCCAGGGCCTTGCGACCTCCATTCATCAAATCAACTACAGTCCATTTTTCAGGAATAATACCATGGTTGAAACTTTTAATGGGTTCATAATACTGACATTCTGTCATTCTGTCATGGAGCAATGAAGTAGCCTAAAATGGAAACAAAAAAAATTAACCTCTCTACAATGCATATATTATAAATGTAAAACAAATATCTATTAAAGAAATAATTGAAATCATGCACTCAAAGGATTCAATTTTGGAAAGCAAAGTCCAATCTCGGGTGGGAGAGTCTCAATTACATCTCAATGAGGCTGACCAGGTATGCAAACTGCTAAACTTTGCACGGTGGTGGAGATGTATGAGATCTCAGTTCATGCAGGGGAGACTTTAGCAGCCTTGGTAGCCAGTGTAAGGGAGCATGACTGGAAATCAAGATGAACATTGGAATTTCATTCATTTAAGGGTTTCAAGGTCAGGTAAAATTGTTTAGCATTTATATTGTGAAAAGCAGGGTTGAGTTTACATATTGTACCCCATGTTCATTCATGAATTCATCTTTACCACCAAGTGGAACTGCTGTCAGGCATTACTTAACAGAATGCAAGACTGCTTACTAGGCCATTGTCTGGTCTCTCTTTTCTGACTTTTCTCCCATGCATTCGGAGTTGCTTACCAATTTGTACTAGAATCAGTAACAATACTCTAACTCTTATTTTCCTGCTTAGTCATCATCAGACAGACTTAAGTTTATCAGGATTATTATCTGTCCAAGGGCAATGTCTAGCTGCTCCTTCTCTTTTACAAATCTCAAGCAACTGAAGAATGCGTGTCCTACTGTTTCATTCATGAGGTCACGAGTAGATCAAAATGCCTTATTTTCCTGCTTAAAGCAAGCTAAATAGACACTGAAGCGATTATGTCGCATAAGCAATTGGATGATGTTATAGTCAACCTCATCATGTTAAAAGGTTATCCATGTCATTATGTTAGGAATCATAGTGCAGGTAAATCTTCCAGTAGATGATGTGTCCCAGCATCTCTACTATCATTCAAGAGTATTCATTCTCTCTTTTTTGCATATTGTTATATAGAGTGCATTTGGCTGTTCTCATCCTCTTCAGGTGATTCAGTTACACTCATCCACCAGTAGATCCATCATGGCATATCAGTGATGATGCACATGGCATCATCAGATTCAGTGTAGAATGCTCGAGCAGCACACAAGAGATTTCTTTGATGCATGCTAATAGCCTCACAGGCATATTGGGGGAGTGTACAATAATGTTTAATTGGCCACATCAGCCAGTAGCCTTCTTTGATTTTGTTGGGGTCCATCCAATGTTTGGCATGATTCAAGACAATGCATCCATCACTCATGTTATTTTGGTGCTAACTATGTGCAGACGTCCAGCAAGCCATAGCCTGGCATCACTTTGCATACTTAGAGATAGATAGCTAGGATAAGATGTCAATCTCCCCATTGGTCAGGCTAACTGTTTCCCTCACTTAGAGTATTGCTTCATTTTTGCGATTAGAAAGCTAGAGGCTTATTGAACAAAGCCACTGGTGAATGGTAACTACAGTTTTATTAGGTGTAGGATTTGCCACTTCAATTTCGTACATATCTCTTTATCATATGTTGTTGTTTTGATATAACCTCTCAATTGAATATTTATAAAAAAATAAATCAGTTTAGCTATGGTTTTGATAAGAAAACATACAACCTTTATTCTAATTAATAAGAATCATACATTGTAAATTGCAACATGTCTAAAACTAACACCAAATAATATAAAATTGAAGATACTGTCACTGATCAAATTACAAGGGTTTCCTTAAAGGAATATTCAAAGGAGTTACTATGAGAAGACTTTGGCTCAGTTTGGTCAAGTGTGTTGAGTAAAGGACTTTAGAGGAACAAGAAGCCAGATGAATGTGATGCAAAGGGATCTACTCGTAGTTATTAAACCTACTTATAAGAGGAATCCATAAAATCAAATAAAGTAAATAACAAATATAGATTCTTCCATGGTCTATACTTTGGCTAATAAATGTGATATGGCATAAAAATAATTTTTTTTTGTATTTATTTATACATGATATTTACAACTGTATTAAAAAATTAAATACATTAAGTAAATAAAAAAAATAATTAATTAAATAAATCTGTAAAGAGGAAATTATTACTAAAAGCACTAAGTTTTTCTTTTACTTATCATAAAAATTTCAGAAAAGCAGTAGTGCATTCAGCCATCCAATAAATAATAAACTAAAAATTTCAGATCTATAATCTATCTAAATACAACATAGAAACTCTTAACACCCATAATTGCTTCAGAAATCAATCATCATTTGATGAATAATGATCTCTTACCACCAGAGCAATTGGAATGTAGGAAAGGAGCACAAGGTTATAAAGACTATTAGTGATAGACTCATTTATATCTAATCAGGTAGAAAAGCTTATCAACAGCTTTGATTGACTACAAAAAAGCTTTTTACACTGTATTGCACAGTTGGTTAATCCAAATGCTAAAATTATACAAAGCCCATCCTAGCATAATAAACCTCCTCAGGAAACTTATGGAGTCATGGAGCACTATGCTAACAGTAGGTTGAGGTCACTCTGGTTACATTAGTGGAACAATGAAAATCTGTTGAGGAAATTACCAAGGAGATTCCCTCAACCCTCTCTGATTTTGCTTAGCTTTAGCACCTCTAAGCCAGATCCTCTAAAGCACCAAAATAGGATATCAATTAATGATCGGTGATGACAGATCCATTATCAGCCATAACCTTTAGATGGATAACTTAAAGTTGTATGCAAAAAACGGAAACCAGTTGGAAAGCATGATGTAACTTGTATCATCATTTAGTGCATCAATCTTCATGTCTTTTGGTCTCAAAAGTGTGCTGTGGTGAATGCTATTAAAGAAAAAGTAAAGGACATCAGTTTTCTACAACTTAGTTCAGGAGCTACCATAAGTCATCTGCCTCTAGGAGAATTTTACAAATATTTATGTGTTAAAAAAGTTATCACAACTCCAAAGAAAGAAGTGCTGAGTGAAATAACTTGTAAGTTTAAGAAAAGGGTGCAGCAGGTTCTGAACAGTCATCTGTTGGGTAAAAATAAAATTCATGCCATTAATATGTGGGTGAATCCATTGGTAGCTTATAGTTTTGGTATTATAAGCTGGTCAACTACCAGAAAAGAGGATGGTCATGGTCTAATCTCTATTGAAGACTCATGCCGAAAGCAAGAATATTCAATGAAGGAGTATTTCATGGCAAATTCGTCTGCAATCATTGCCATGATGATAGAATTGAATGAAGTTGTACCCTTTGAATACACTGCCCACAATTTAGAGATCCGAATCGACCAGAAATAAGAAAGGATGACCATTATAAGATTATTTGAAAGGAGAAGAAGTTGCATGGGAGATTCTACCATCAATTACAGGATACTGAAATTGATATTGATATCTTAGTAGAATGGTTAAAGATATGACAAATCTATAGACTGAAGGATTTTTGTTTAGCAATCCAGGACCAAGTTATCGCAACCAGGGCATATAGAAAATATATTTTGAAAAAAAATTTTGGTGGTCACAGATTAATATCACCTTTGTTCGAAGATACATGGGTCTATCCATCATGCGATACTTTGGCTGTTCTGGAATACCTAATGAAGCATAATAATATTACCAAAATATATCATCAAAGTATATAAAGATTTAGGTCTGCTGGGCAATGAAATATCCTAATATCAATATCTCCCAGAAAAACCTACAGAAAACAGCAGTGTAAAAGTTTATTGGGATGAAAATATAATAACACACCATAGAATATTGCATAACTGCCCAGATATTTTGGTTATACACAACACAAATAAAACTGCTATAATCAGAGATACAGCAGTATCCAGTGATACAAACCTTCTAACCACCAGAGCCGAAGAAATTCAAAAATACCAGGAACTAGCCTTGAAGATAAAAAAAGCTATACCAATTAGGAAAAGTTAAAATTATTCCCATAATAATATCTTTGAATGGTCTAGTATTGAAAAGTACAATAGAGGGTACCAAATATCTTGGACTTAACCTAACACCTTTAAAAACAGCTCAAAAAGCAGTCCTGCTCGATATTTGCAGAACTGTAAGAAAATTGTTAAATAAATAAAATCTTTCGTCCGTATTCCCTTGAAGGATTTTCTTCTGGGATAGAGTTATTCCAGATATCTGAGAAAGCATAAATAAAAGTTTGCATTTAAATGATTGGAGATATTGAGATTTCCAACATGAGCTGCAGTTAGTTTTGTGACTCAGTTATATGACAATCTTAGTTCTGTCATCCAATTATAAGCAGTTTTTAGTTATGTCACCCAATTATATGCCATGCTTTAAAGCTACTTCATTCCGAATGTCTGAAATATTATAACTTGAAACTCGAGTAATTTTTCCTTCCAGCTTCTGCAAAGATTCACAACAATATAACATCTACTTAAAGATTTTAAACTATACATGAAATTTATCGCAAATGAGTCAGGTCCATATTTAGGCAACTGTAACAAAATCTTCATAAACTTTAATTGCACCCTCTCTAGAACAGATTTTAAAATGTTGTCTGTGGGTCAACAATGTAAATAACAAGGGATTTCTCAAACTAAATAAGTTTATGAATCCATGATCTAGAATATGAGCGTAGTTTGAACCTCAAATTTACAATAAATAGGGAAGCGCTCTTAGAGATAGAATTTGTTTTTCCAGTCAACATTCTTACATGACTTTAGCAGGGACAATACTAAAGATGTGGCAAGCCCATTCGTTTTCATTTTTAATTTACAAAATTTATGTTTAGAAAAATAATTGAGTATCCAAATAAACATAGTCTACATTATTAAATTTATTTTAATTTCTTAAACATTAGTTATTTGACATTTCAAAAACTTTCATCTACATAAAAAATGATAGCAAAGATTTTTATGAATATTCATGGAAAGATTTTTTTTTAGTGAAATATTCCTGAATATACAATATAAATATATCACTGAGGTTTCCAGTTATTCATAACAATACTGGGTACTATCTAGATCATTATCTCAAAATTTTTAAACAGAAGCAACTTTAACTTAATATGTTTTATCTTACAACATACCTCCTGTAATAAAGACGTATTTAAATTCATTTGGTTAGACCAATGAATCAGATATCTAATTGAAACTTCAAGCCTTACAACCTTCTTCAAGCCCATTGAATGACAAATAGATACAGCATTGCTTGAAAATGCAGTTGAAAAGTTCAACCTGTTTGAATAAAATAAAATAAATAAATATATATATGCATGGTAAGTTATCAGTAATTTTTCCTCAAATTATTTATTCGGAAAACCTTGGTATGTATAAAAAATTAAATATTTTCATTTTCTGTGATTTCTTCAACAAAACTGTAAAACGATGTAGAGATGGTTGACCGTTAATATAATATGAGAAGGAGTTAGTCAAGGGTGCGGTCAAATAAATAAAAAAATTAAAATATATAAATTATTTTAATTTTTGCCGACGTTTCGACCCACTTTGCAGGTAGTCTTCAGGGCGTAGGATGTGGCACTGCGGGAGGCAGTTGAAACACTGGGGTGTTTCAACATACAATGTTTCAACTGCCTCCCGCAGTGCCACATCCTACGCCCTGAAGACGACCTGCAAAGTGGGTCGAAACGTCGACAAAAATTAAAATAATTTATATATTTTAATTTTTTTATTTATTTGACCGCACCCTCGACTAACTCCTTCTCAAAACTGTAAAACTTTTTTTATAACTATAAATAAATACCTATGGTCAAAAGACTGAACTTATGATTTATTAATTTCACTATATTTAGGCTTTGTCAAATCATCAGCCATTTTAAAGTTTATTTTAAAATAAAATTTAACCAAAAAAGTTTTGTCAATTTAAAAAAATAATTAAATTACTACTATTATTGTGTTTTATAATAAAATAATAGATTAAAAATTAAGTGTCAAGAATTTTTTTTTAGTCAGACAAGAATGTCATTAAGGAGATCAGATATTCATTTATATTTCATTATGGCTATTTTTTTTTTAGGTGTAAACACTTATATATACAAATTTTGATTTTTATACTTCCGTAATCTATGCAATTAAATATTATATAATACCATCACTAGCATTTATGAAAACCGTATATGTATAAGTAAATAATATAATCGGAACTCGTACGTTCTCCAACCTTGTAGCCCAGTAACCTTGTACATCGTAAGTTGCATTGAATGGGGGTGGTTAGCTATCGCTCTAGTAGAATCAAGGCTAATCGGTTGGTCAGAACGGAACGGAAGCGAAACATTGAACCTACCCTGGAGATCACGAGTGCATGTATTTATAAAGTGATCTTCGCAAAATGCATCTTCAGCAGAATCAAAACTGTGACTTCCTCAGTCTCCCAAAATTGCCTTAATTCCTCCTGTAAGAAAGGGCTGGTCTGCGTGAAAAGAGTACGTACTAAAGGTATAGGGATTTGGCTTTCCGAGAGGATGTCCCAAAATAATACGTATTCTAATGAGGTATGAATAGCTTTCGGTTGATCCTTCAGAAATAAAACAGAGTCACTTAAAATCTCACCGTACATCTCAGAACACAGAAGCAGATCAACTTTTCTCCGCATATGAAATAGAGGGTCCGCAAGTTCAACTGAAGAAAATTTATTCCATACTTCTTGGGAACCGGCAAACGAAAGGAAACTTCCACTAATGCAGGGCAATACTCAGGCTGAAAACTCATATACATTGCTATTTCTCGTCGAACCCAATTTCACTTTAACCTCAGCAGAAAATGAAGATATGGAGGTATTACCTACTCTAGACACCACAAGAGGACTAACCCGGGAATGAAGGCGCAAGTTTTTTATTATATCAATGGTAATTAAATTAATTTGGGAACCTGGATCAATCAACATTCTGCATGAATACAACTGACCTGAACTTGAACAAATTCTACCTAAGGCAGTACCCAGAAGTACCTGTGAGTTGGTGGTAGCATGACACGAAACTGCACGAGAGTTGTTTGTTACTTGAGACTGAGAGGGCTCAGTGTTTGCAGCAGTAACATCGTATGATGACTCTTTTTGCCACAAACTTGGCAACAGTCTTTACTTTGCCAATTTGGCAAGTTATGAGGTCCCGTATAAGAAAAGCATAAATCAGAATTCTTAAGCAGGTCATAGCGACTATTAACATCAGTATCTAGAAACTGAGGGTAATTTATAATTTTATGGCTCGATTTACAGACTGGGCACCTAACTTAAAGTTCTGCTTATTTTGTCTATTGCTGGTTAAAATGTTTTCGCTGAAATTTAGGCTAGGTGGTTTTGGATGTAGAAGGCTCGAAATACATTTCTGCGACTCTAAGTTGTGACCTAACAAATTTGCAAAATTCTTCAAAGTTAGGAACTGTCGCTTCGTTGAGACTATTCTCAATCATTCTTCTTGTATTAAGGTCTATAAGGTTCAGTCCGAGATGCAGCAAAACAAAATCAGTGAGGTTATTGAGTTTAAGATTTTTTAAAGCATTATAATTATCTTCAAATATATCCAGAAAGCTTCTAAAGTTTGAAGATTTATCAACAGAAAATGGTTTAAACCGTATAATGTTGTTAAGATGGTAGGCTGCAATGATCCATTTAATACTGTAACGCTTTACTAATTTATCATAGACCAAGCTGCAATAACTATTCTGCGCTAAACTCAATTGAAGAAATGGCCTGTGAAACAGAATGAACTAAAACTGACTTGAGATGTGAAAATTTTACTATATTTGTGTAATTTCGATGATGAATTAAGGCATCAAATAATGATTTAAAGGAAATTGTTCGTACTGTCCAAAAAATTGAGGAATTTGTAAATCTGACAATTTAGGATATGCTACTGGTTCTGATAAGGGTTCAGAAGCGGGAAGTATGTACTCAGATTTAATTAATTTCTCATGCCCAACTTTTATCTCATAATAAAGTTCCTCCCTTGCTAAAGAAGATGCGTTTATTTCTATCCTATGTTCCTCCTCTAACGATTAATTTAGCACCGAAATCTTGTTCAAAACCGCTTCAAATTCCTCCAGTTGTGCCTTAATTTCTGAATCCCTAGCGATAAAAATTTCCTTTCTAGCAGGGAGACCCTTAATCATATCGAAAGCGGTTTGAATTCTAAGAAACAGCCTTTCCTTTCTGTCATTTATAGCTTTAGGTCCCTCAGTACTTTTAGTCGGAACCATCTTCAAAGTTGTAGAAAAACAAAAATTAAATTTTAATTTCTGAAGGCAAAACCCAATTTTATTCAAAATAAATTCAAAGTTCAGCAAAGCAGGCCAAGTTCAGCAAGTATAAACGTAAGTATTGACGAAGTCACTTACTTCCAGCAAGTCACTATGTGTTCTTTCCTAAAAATTCCTGTAAACTTATCTGGAAACAACTTCCCACTACTATTAAAAAAAAAACGAATTAATAGGCAAATACGAATATTAGTCTCGAGCAAAAGCCAGCCGTGTTACTCTGTGAGTTCTGGTCAACTCTGGTCCTCTTACTGGACGAAAAGCCATTAATCCATACTCATTTAATCTTCTCCGAGCGGTACGTTCAGAAATTTGCACACTTCGAACTTCTTCGAGCTGATGAATCGCTTGAACTACGGTAAGGTGCCGGTTTCGTAAAATTCTCAAAGTCAAAAACCGGTCATCCCGTGGTTCTGTTACCCTAGGCCGTCCAAAAACGGGCCTTCTATTGTAAGAACCAGTTTCCCGAAAACGTCTGACGGCGTCTCGTAAAGTTTCATATGGAACTCCGATGACATTAGCTGCATATCTAATGGAACGTCCATCATCAATAAGTGCCACACCACGCGCAACATCCTCACCACTAAGAGGCATTGTTGAACTTAATATTGAAAACATTAAAAGCCGGAGACTAAGAAATGTGCTGCAAGAAACGGCACTGAACTAAAGATACTGAATAAACATTTTGATTCCATAGAAAGTAAACATTGGTATCTAGAATCATTTCATTGAATTAAGGATTAAGGGTTATTGTCCTCTATATTAACATTCCTAATTGAAAACAAACAAAAAGATTACCTATTTATTCATTAAAAACAATAGACCAATCCAAAGCAGGAATATTTTTAGATGAAAACATGAAAAAATCAAGTGGGTGGAATTTTTTGCCTGTCAGTGTATATAGTATTATATTATTCCTTTTACAATATGTTATGTTAATTATCAGTCGTAATTTTTGTACGTAATATAAATTCTCAAGGTTTTGTATCTACACTTTTAAAAGTTATTAGGATAGTATTCACGTTTATTAAAATGAATACGCTTAAATTTACAGAAGAGAAAGCAGATATTTTTATTCAATCTTATTTATTTAAAAAAATATATTTATTAAATTATTTATATAAAAAATATATTTACTATATATACTATTTTATTTTTATTTATAAGTATTATATTATTCGTTTTACAATATGTTATGTTAATTATCACTCGGAATGTTTGTACGTAATATAAATTCTCAAGCATTTTTGTTTTTGTTGGATACATCTCGCCACCCTCTCCCGTACTAGAATGGAAAGTCTACGTCTATGATCCTAGACGTACAGACTTTTTGGTGTACTGTTTACTTATGGGCTGCTAATGGCAATAGAGATAAGTTTAATAGACGGTCAGGATAAATAAAACAATCGGAACGACACCCTAGAAATTCCATCGGGGAATACGTGTATTCAAGGGCTGTCAAATTTGGAGAGTAACCTTTCTGGACCTACCGTTCAGTGTGTAATAAAGTGTAACGTGTGAATATATTTGTTAATGTGTTAAGTTTTGCATGTAGAACAATATATGAAGTTGATAGCGAAACTGAGTCTGTTTGTTTAGCAGGCTCTGGTAATCTGGATGATAAGGATTTTGATTTTCAAGTTTATTCACGATAGTACCGGCTCTTTAAGAAATTCCAATATTCTCACCTCCTCAGAATTTTTATTGGGGGGAGCGAGGGAGGTGATGCCCAAAGAATATAATACTATATATAAAAATCAAATGGTATACATAGTAATTTTTTTTTTTTTAAATAAGAGTATTCATTAATAAACCTGTACCACTACAACCCATGAAGGGTCTGGGGTTCAGTACTATTTAGGGAAAGCACTGTTTTTAGGTCAACGGTAGAGCAAGGAGGTGATTTGACCGAAATCACGCTCAACCGCCAGGTTTTCCTCCTTAATTAATTATTTAATTAAGGCTAC